TCACAACTATTCCTCTGAGTCCGCACTACAAACGAGAGGTTACTGACGAGGCGGCGCTCACTTTTGCTGTCTCTTCTTCTTATTCTCCACATTTATCTCCTCCTTCTGTCTGTCAGTTTGCATCTTTTTTTTTTTGCCTGGGCAGAATTGTTGGATCTGGTTGTGTAGATGAAAGTGGTGGTTGCTGCTGTTGTTGGTGGTGGTGGTGGCGTGTGTGTGTTTGCATGGGCGTGCATGTGTTTATGTAAAGGAACTTCAACACAGCAGCTGTTTTAACCAACGTGTCCGTGTTTTGTGTCTCATGAACTGTAGAGGCGCCCGTGATATCTAATGATTTTATTCCCCCTCCTATGCAAATTAGATGATATCCCATAATGCACATTTATTATTTGTGTTGTGTAATTAATGTTTGTTCTCCATCTCTGTGACATATGGATATTTTTTTCCCCCATAAAGCTATTATTTCGGGAGATTTTTCTTTAAGTCCTGGGATAAATGAGAAAGATATTGCCATATTTTCATTGTGTTTTTACAGCCTTCCTTTATTGTGTTTTATTATCCACAACATGGTACTATGGTAGTGAAAGAAAAAAGGAAAAAAAAATATTAATATGTAAGCACTGTGCAATTTTCCTTTATACAACAGTGTGTCATTAAGAAATGTTTCTGCTGTTCTCTGTACATACAATATGAACCATTTTTTCAGCGAATAAATTGAGGGTAGTTTCAGTCCTTGTAACAGTAATTTCCCTTGATTGCTTTGCTTTAACATTCACAAATTGTTCCTCTTCTTGATAACGCCAGCTAAGGGAAGTAATGAATAACTTATTCTTGCTGCTGCCATACCGGATATGTATTCACGATTCAAGAATTCAAAATGAAACATTGTTGAACTTATGATAATTATCGGTTATGAATGTAAAATTGGCTGTTCTCTTTCAGAGGTACGCACGTGCATTTGAACTAGGAACGTTCACTTTACTCGTCATCTGGTTGCCATATCATTTCTCACTCTTTCAACATGAAGGCAAGAGCGACCTGAGTAAAGGCTGAACTGTCTAAACAGTTGCTCTTATCACTTTTTGAATGCTGAAACAAGTGTAACGTTTATGGTCTAACTGCAGCTATAAACTGGCGCTAGCTGAAAATGTGGTTCCCACATTTGTTAAAGTGGCAACAAATCCAAAGGTACAAAAAAACACCACACTCGCACATTCTCTTTGTTTTTCAGCTCTTTACACTCCAGCCTAGAGCTGGCTTTCCTTCTAACAACATCCTGTGATGACGCTGATGGTGATAAAGACAATAGTTAAGTTTATGATGTTGAACTCCGGGGAAAAGGAAGGTTTTAGAAAGTGCAGGTTCTGGCCCTGCATTACAGAACTCCTGCCAAATCTGCCTCATCCTGAGGAAGGGAAAGGCTTTTGATAGAATCCGTCTGCTCAGAGAGGAAACATAGTAGAAAGCACATGAACCAGGGGTAGAGACATCCACTATTCCGTATAGCGCCTTGGGGTGCAGCGGTAAAATTAAGGTGAAGAGTGAGTGGAGTAAATTTGTCCAGCCTGTGAGAGAGGGGGACTTTAACCCTGAATAATACCTCGAGGGGAAATTTAAAAGCACCTCTGAAGTAACTCTTCTCTGAACATCCCTGCTGAGCCACAGTCCGTTGCTTTTTATATTGCCTTTGATTGAGGGTCAATAGAGCAAATGGGGAGGAAAGAGCCTGCATTTGGTCATGTTCCAGCACTGTTTCAGCTTTCACCTTGCCCACAATTCAAAGAGCTTTAATAGAAATACATATCAATGCTTTTGTAGAGTATCACAAGACACGCTTTTTTTCTTTAACAATTTTGGGGCCAGTCTAAAACATTTCCTTCATATCTGAGTACAGCTGAGTAAGTCTAGTTTAAGATCATGTAAAGTCTAACTTTGTTGATATTCAGTTGTATTTAGTAGTGATGTGTTTACAGTGCTATCCTAAATCTTGAGCCACATCTAATTTTTTTTAAATATTTCATGTCCAAGGAGCCTTTTTCTTTAGACATTAGTTTTTTTTTT